GTTCACTTGGATTTAAACACGTGCTTATTAGTGACGTTCTTTTTGGTTCGTTTACATGATGCTTTCATGACCCTGTTGCTATAGTATCCGATACTGTCATTAACGTGCCATACACCGGTATAAAAAAAAAATCGATTGAAAAAATAGTGGCTAAGTTCAGATCAGGAAAAGTCCGCATGTAATTGGTTGTAAATAAATATATTACTTTGTTGGTATTAAAATAGCAGTCCTTGTTGCAGCATATTGCCTTATAAATACCACAGGATACAACACAATAATACAACTTGGGCAAGAATTTAAAACCCACTTGTTGAGGAGTCTACGATTTACTTGGTAACCAGTAAAATGGTCTGTGAAAATGGTCAAAGATTGAATGACTTCGTTTATCGCTTATTCCAAGTATGAAAAATAATCCAAAACTGTGTCCTCCCAAATTAGCTTCAGGACGACATCGGTCCGTCTATCGATAGAAGAGCTGCAAAAAAATGCTGGTTGTTCCACGTCGTTACTGCGGGTTGAGAGCGGGGCCTCCGTCCCTTGAGATCATGATGATCATCAGGAGCAGCGATTTCTTGCTATCAGTTGCGGGGGGGGGGGGACCAGTAGCTTGAGAAATGGATAGGTGGGGTATTCATATTATCTAACTCTAGGGGGCGTCCTTCATCAAATGTATTCATCCAATCATAGTTGAGGATGTCACAGTGTAGGTTTGACATCGTGATGGAGAAGATCAACCCTGAAAAGGGCCGAGTGAGTCGCAATCGGCCCCATATAATTGTTAACATTTTGTGATATCTAATATTTTCGAACCAAGCCTTTATGAATTGATTAGTCTCATTCCAAGACCAGAATTGGATTTTATTCCCACTCCCGATCCCTTGCAAGCGTGGTGAAGTCGCCGAGACTGCAGAGGGCGCTGTCAACAAGATGAATCCGATCCAGTATTGGGATCTTTGGCACTCCGACCCGAGACATTCCGAGCAAACCTCAGGAGTACTGTAGTCAAGCGTATGTTGCGCGCGCGTGAGGTATGCTGGGAATTGTCAGGTCTAGGAAGCCATAGTTCCCAAGACTGGATTGGATTCGTCTTGTTGATAGCGCCCTCTGCCGTCACTTGCCAGGATTGTCAATATTCGCTCGTACCCCCCCCCCCCCCCACCCCCCCCCCCCACCCCCCCCCCCCCCCCCCGCCCTGCAAACGCTGGGCTACTCTGATGAATTCACGCTCTGATTGGTTGGATTTTGCGTGACCAGTGACCTGCGCGTCATCAAGTTCATGACTCTGCAAGGTTTGAAACGGCCGTTGATAGTTGAGGATGTCACAGTGTAGGTTTGACATCGTGATGGAGAAGATTAACCCTGAAAAGGGCCGAGTGAGTCGTAATCCGCCCCATGATTGTTAACATTTGGTGAAATCCAATATTTTGAGCCAAGCCTTTATGAATTGATTAGTCTCATTCCAAGACCAGAATTGGATTTTATTCCCACTCCCGATCCCTTGCAAGCGTGGTGAAGTCGCCGAGACTGCAGAGGGCGCTGTCAACAAGATGAATCCGATCCAGTATTGGGATCTTTGGCACTCCGACCCGAGACATTCCGAGCAAACCTCAGGAGTACTGTAGTCAAGCGTATGATGCGCGCGCGTGAGGTATGCTGGGAATTGTCAGGTCTAGGAAGCCATAGTTCCCAAGACTGGATTGGATTCGTCTTGTTGATAGCGCCCTCTGCCGTCACTTGCCAGGATTGTCAATATTCGCTCGTACCCCCCCCCCCCCCCCCCCGCCCTGCAAACGCTGGGCTACTCTGATGAATTCACGCTCTGATTGGTTGGATTTTGCGTGACCAGTGACCTGCGCGTCATCAAGTTTATGACTCTGCATGGGTTTGAAACGGCCGTTAAGACTGATTCATTACTCTTTTATTCCAGTTCAGAGATGTTTTTTTCTCGTTGAAAAGCGTAATAATGCAGGAAATTCTGTAAAACTTATCTGTGTTGTGAATTTACTATTCCCGTCACTTGCTCAGACTCCGTTTCGGATCACGAACGGTCGGATTGCATTATGCGACGCTAAACATTTGTCCACATGGTCCGCAATGAAACAGAAATCACATCCGGTATGGAATGTGCGCATTTCTAGGGGAAGTTTTCGGATAGCATTTTACGCACATTGTCTAATTGCAGTCTTGAACAGCTGCAGCCAGATGCTTTAAATACAGAGGTCATAGGCCACTTCCTTCACAAGATTCTGTGAAGCTCATCAGAGTATCCCAGCGTCCTGTTTGCAGGGAGGGGTTAGAGCGAATTGTCAATTGAGCCTGAAAGTGCACCATTTTGTCTTTGAGCTTCCGGACCGGCCCCCGCGACCCATCTATGGGCGTTTTACACCAGGTTGCCCTTTTTCTTGCTAACATTTTCGACAATGATTTGTAACCGTAATCACCCCGAGAAATATTCATGTTGGAAATGTTATCTGGGCATTCCACAAGAAAGAAAAATGATAAGAAGTCAGTTGGAGATTGGTAACAACGACTCTTACTCACGACCTCCACACCCGGAATTAAAAATCCTCTAAACTATTCCAGTATGAGACACCTCGATGAACAACATTTTTTTTAGACATTGACGTCCTGTTGAATTGGGCCAACACATTTCCCCTGGCGCTACTTCGATTATAATATACATGAATGTTAGAATTTATGAGAGATTTTTTACTTGTTTGTTGTCCTAAGATTTAAAATAAAAAATAAAACAAAATAAACGAATGTAAAACAAGAATTAAGACGGGGTAGGAGTAAGTTATGCATAAAATATATACATGGATTTTCCCAGATTAAGTTGGTATAAGTCATTACAATGTAATATATTTAATTTAGTAAATAATGGAGCAGAATGATCACGGTAGCCAGCATTCGAAATTGCACGAACCGCTCGTTTTTGTAAAGTAAGTATTTGTTAAATTTAGATGACAAATGATAGATGATTTTTTCTTAGGGGGAGCTATAATTTTTAAGGTGCTGCAATAATCAGTTTTACATTTTCTTGTATTTCTTCGAGGATGTGTTGCTACAGTAATTGCTACAATAATCGATACGAATCAAAAGGTAAAGTCACAAGAGAAATTGTATGTGCACTGGTTTTAAAAATCGTTGGGTGAATTGTTTGTTTTTACAAATATTATTTTGATTAATTATGACCTGAAACAGTAGCTACTGAAGCAAAACCTATTCTAAAAAAAGGCAGTTCGCAAGAAAACCCGCGAAACTTCACTGCACGAGTTGAATACACGGAACAATTCTACTTAGGATTCAATTGAATCGGTAACTAATAAAACAATCTGTAACGATTCACCGGTACCAGGCAGCTATTCGTGAATACATTTGTGCTTGGCCGGTTTTAAAAAAACACACTATGTTTAAACCGGTTGGAATCTGGAGGCTGATAATCACCCTCGCCTTTGGCCATGGTCGTCGTCAGGATTTTTTCTAGAGGAGGGCAAAACATATTTTTTTCCCAAAAAATTCTTGTATTTCTCAACAAAGTCTAGATTCATCAGTTTTAGAGGGGGGGGGGGGGGGGGCAGGGACATTTTGGCACCCCAACTCATTAAATTTACACCACTATGACTTCGCGCCTCTTTTTCTTTTCTTTTTTTTTCTCTTTTTCCCCTTTTTGTTTTGCTTTTCCAGGGGGGCCCCCCTTGCCCCCCCCCCCCTCGCGACGCCCATGCCTCAAACCGGATTTAAACACAGTGTTTAATATCGGCCAAGCACATATTTATTCCCATTCATAAATAACTGTTCGGTCAAAAAATCAAAACTTTTCGTTCCAAAAGTCAAAACAAGTCCAAAATTATAAATTTTCAACGATTTCGTTCAAAATTTTTACTTCCTTTTTTTTCGAAACACCCCTCTAGCTAAATTATGGTATGTCCCTCTCGCAGAGTAGCCGTAAACCAACCTCGTCCCCAGTCCTTACTTTATTTCCAACCTCGTTTCCAATAGTAAGCCCTGGATAGGAAACTTTCTTCCTGTATACTGATTCGACACCGTAATTTGCTAATAATGGATTATATCGTGTAGTTGGTGTTGTTATTTTCAACGTGCATTACGTGTAGTTTCACGATCTTTGCAACTATAACGTCCACGCCTTCTCTATAATACTCCTTTCCTTTCCAGTTTGCTCATATTAATATGAAATGTGATACTGCATATTGGCGGGCCAGATTATAACATTTTAACTTCCAAAAAAAATCGTGTTTTCATAACTCACGGCGCGACGAATTGATGCTGTTTTTACAATACCCCACACACCGCAAACAAAAACAAACGCTAGCACCAGACTATTCCTCATTTGCATACGTGTTCAAAAATCTTGCACATGCAAATGATCCAATACCAGGGTGAGAGAAAAGGTAGAGGTGGGCGCGTACTGCTCGAAACCTTGGGGACGGGGTTGGCCGTAAACAACTCCTAGGCCCAATTTCACGGCGCTGCTAAGCACACGATTTTCTGCTAACAGAGCCTCCGTCTATTTCATGGAGACCGTAAGTAAAAGCACAGCAAAAGGCACGCTTACTTCGGAGGAAAAATTTGCTTAACTTAGTGACGTAACAGTAGAAATCTCCAAGCACGCGCTACCGTTAGCACATCCACGCCATCAAATAGTGCTTAAGGTTAGCAATTTTTTCTGCTATGCTAAACACAACTTTTCTGCTAACTGTTAAGCAGCGCCGTGAAATTGGGTCCTGCTGCAGCCAGCCGGCCTTTATCAACCGTTTAAAACCGGCCACGTGACGGGCTCTTGACCAATAGGAAAACTGTCCTATAAGGGATTTATGAATATATAATAACAGCATTGCTGTGCTTCAAAATGTGTCCCAGTTCAAAGTTGCAACGAAAAGAGAGTTTTTCTTATGTCTCTTTCCTTAACATGGCACTTTGTAAACTTTAAAGTCCCCAAATACTTAGCTGAGATTTTCAGTCTAGAATCACTTCTCGCTTTAACGATCACAGACGAGTCGTTTCACCCTCTTCAAGTTATTCCTTGCTGCCTGTCGGTGCTCCGGCTGCGCATAGGCCAGGAACATGGTGCCGTAGAAGGTGTCAAACACGGCAATAATGGAACTTGCGGTAATGAGAGGGTCGAGAACGGCTGAAGTCAGGTCACTGAGAATTGCAATGTTTATGGCTACACTAGCCGGTAACCAAGCCACGACAAATGCAGAGAAGTGTACGATGAAGTACACGGTGGTTTTGTTGGCCGAGTGGTTCGGTGGAGGCTGCGGCGCGTTTTCATCGTTGCCTTCCTGCTCCGTCTGCTGCACACGATCTTGAAGATGCTTTAGCATCAGCATTTCATCCCGTATCTTGCGCCGCTGTTGCCTAGCGATGCGAACGAGAGAAGCTATCAGAAAAGTTACCGCGATCATGCTGGGGAAGATGGTCAGATCCAACATGACGACCATTGGGATTCGAAAACCTTCCTCCTGCATGAAACTGCTGTAGAATTGTTGGCTGTCGGTTTCCAAATTCAATATGGCGGTGAGGAAAACGGAAAGTCCGATGAGCAGAGACAGGCACCAGGACGCACCAATCAGCACGATGCAACGTCTGGGTGTCGCTAGCCGAAGATACTGCAGGGGCCGGGAGATCTTCAGGTACCGGTCAGCCGCTATGACCACCGAATTCGAGAAGTAGCCGAAAAGTCCAAAATAGGTAAACTTGTGGCTATTGCGAGTTTGAGCGATGAGTGTTTGATATTTGACATCAGGATCACAGACCACCATGAAATCACAATTTCCGTGACAATCAAGGACACACAAAGACTGGCCATGAAATAGTTGGACACATTATGGAGGATGTGCTCCATAGCGATTGTGGCTATCAACCACACGTAGACGAGACTTGTTGCTGCTGCGATGAAAATCACGAAGATGCAGCCGGCCAACAAGGCCGGATGGACTGGGTCATCGCTCATAGATGACGCAGAGGCATTCACGATCAGTTCTTCCTCCATAATTAGGCCTTCCTTTCAAAACATTTCACCTACCAAAAAGCTGTAAGGGCATTCGAAAACACACACAAAAATCATACTTCCTCACTGAAAACTAGAGGTGAAAGTGTTCTCCGTACCAGTGGGATACCTTTTTTGTATGCGACTGACTGATGCAACGACTAAAATGCATCTCTCAATTATAAACTGTCTTGATAGGGTTTGCACGCACAGCCAGCACCGGTCGCTTTCATACATACATCATTCTAAAGTAAATTTACTCTTTTTTTCTGGAAAGGCCTAATCAGGAATGACGGAGACAAAATGAGAACTGAAGCTATGATGGAGTCTCTGAGACAGCAGTTCTTGTTTATTGGATTTTATAATGGGCCCCTTTCGTCAGTAATTAACCACGCCACTGTAATCACTACCAAGCTTTTGTCAAGTGAAAATGACAGAATAATGGATACGGAGTAATTGCCTGCGCCCTCTGTGAGCATAAAGTGCAAGTTCACAAAATTGGACTCGGCATCATCGTTTAGCCTGGAGAAGTAATTCTGATTGATTGGTGTAAATATTAAAGATGTTACGACCGTGCTCTCCGACGAATTAGAGTTTGTTCTCCTAACGGATTTTTCACTTGTATAGTTTATTTTAACGGGGGGGGGATACTACTTTTTTGAGGGGGAGGGGGGGTGATGCTTTTGCGCCATAACAGATCCACTTTGCTAGTAGACTGGTTTCTGGTCCCTTCATACTGGTAATCGATTCTAATAGGAGCGGGAACCAGGCAGTCTACCCTGCGAGAACTGAATTATTGTCGGGTCGTTAATACATTTATTTTACGCGGGCTGATTTTTTTGGTTCTCATTCCAGTCCCGGTTGCTATTGACTATAGAGGTCGTCCGGTGTGCGCCGTTAGCAGACACTCTTTGGTACCGGACTTTTTTTGGCATGACACCGGGACCTGGTGCTGGTCGTGCTGGCGCCGCAAGGCGTGCGTGCGCAGACCCTGGATGTGATTTTCCGTGGCGCCGTGTTTGGTCTATGGAGTAAAAAAACATGCTACGTTAGTCACAAATACGTAACGTTATGGGGTTTTTTTTTTGGATGAAAATACGTGACTCGAGTCACGAGTCATCAAGCTCGAGTCCGAGTCATCATGGTCGAGTCCGAGTCATTTTCCAATGTGACTCGAGTCGAGTCCGAGTTCTGGACTCGAGTTTCACAACACTGACGTTTTCTATGACCAATTTGAAATTCATGTAACATTATGCTCCCTAGAATTACTTAAACTGACATCATTTTTTTCTGTTCCTTGGGTTGGTTTCACATCAACAGGAGCAGTTCATCCTATGCTACGAGGTGATCTACCAACATTTTGAACGGTTCCAGCACTATTACGAAATTTTATATGTTTTATTTAAACAATAATGTACAATTTAAGTCCATTTCATTTTTTTTCTCTACAGAAATGTATTTCAAGTAAGGCCGAGACTCTATCCTCGTACAGAAAAGAGGAGAGGCTTTTTTTTAAGTCTAAATACGTGTACATGTACTTTTAATATCTATTTATGCTTTATAATTGTTTTTTTTTTTTAATGTTGTAAATGTCATACAATTCAGTTTCTAACTGCTATATGTCATGTTTTTAAATAAACCATAAACCATATTACATCCTCCTTTAAGAAACGTGAAACATCTTCATCAAATCTGGGAACAGTCTTCTCCGAAACTGCCCTCTTTTACTGTTTAAAAAAAGGCAGTGGATATTTTGCCGGAGACGGCAAACCTTTAGTAAACGTTTAGTTTGCCGGATATGCACTGAACATGCGCAGTTACTGTTTTTTTGTACTTCTCCGGTGACAAATTTTAGTCTGGCTCCATGCCAATATTGTCGTTGTAACCTCGTATTCACAAGATGGGATTCAGACCATTTTATAATTTCGGACTTTATTTCCCTTTTAAAAAAAATCCTCCAGAGCCTCAAATCTGAAAAAGAAAATGTAATACTCTGCAATAAAATGTTTGAGACATGTTAAAATAATAAAAGAAGAATATTCTTATTTATTTGGGGATGGGGAATTTTTTTTTTTAAATGTGGCGAGGATCGGGATCGAACCCGAGTCATCCCGCTCACTTACACTAGAGCTTTTGCTTAACCACTTCACCAAACGTGCTACGTACAGCGCCCTCTGTTGATATGGAATGCCGCCGGCAAACCTTTAGTAAACGTTAGTTTGCCGTCATTACCTCCGGCAAAATATCCACTACCTTTAAAAAACGGCAAATCAGTTGTTCCCTTTCTCCAGCCATTTCAATGAAATGAGTTACACAATACAGTGGCACAGTAACATGTATTTCGATACTTACACAGATTTGTACATTTTATTTTGAGCACAATCGCAAAAGTGAAATAATCAAATAAAAATAAATGATAAACAACATAGGCCAATAGTAAATATTAAAATTAGTACAGCCAATGCATAAAGTTATGCGCCATTCTTGTTTCATACATTAATTGTCTATAAATTTAAGGTATTTGATGATAATTTTTATTCCAAGGTCTTAGGAAGATCATTATCTATGAGCCATAATGCATGCAGCACTTACCAGCAATAATTAACGAGTTAATACTTGTTAATTGCTTTTCAGTTGTGTTCAATTGGCCGTGACAGCCAGCCCAGATGGTCTTTCGGGGCAAAATGCATCAGGCAAAATGCCTTATTCCCACTCCATCAAGCCAATGTCTTTTCGCAAGGGAAAATAATCTGATGACAACAGTGGAAAGGCCAGGCTGTTTCTGAGCGGGGGAGCGTTCTGACTTTGAAAGTGACGTTTTTTCAATCTCCAATTCATTTCACTATCCTTAAAATAAATCCTCAGTTGCAAATATTAATTTTCGCCCATCTGGCATCCGAGTAATAAATCTACATAATTGTACATTACACAGATGCAAATTATCATTGTATATTCACAGATGTTAGTATGAAGAACACAACCATATCTATTAAAATATATTTACACAAGTTTACTTAACAAGTTCCGCTTTACGCTTATCAGAATGAGAAAATGCAGAAATTATTCAATAATTGTTATATTTGAAGCGAGAAGATTAGCGCAAATGTTGCTCCCGTGTACAAATCGTAAATCTGTTGAGACTGCATTTTTGACTTAAAGTAGGCTCAATAATGACAAGTGGAGAACAGAAGTCCAATGTGTAAATAAATTATACTCGCCTAACTTCGAACTTCCACTATGTTGTCAAATTGAAAAAAAAGTCTGTAGTCTAAACAGATATTCATGCAGAAATATATCCACATTATTGTACATCACAGTGCGTCAGAAGTTAAACTACGGGAGATTATCACATTTGATTTACCTGTGACGTCATACCAACGAGCAACCGACTACGGCTAACACTAACATTAAATCGTCTTTGCATGTTATTTTGTTCACAGTTTACGTCATCACTTATACACAATCACATTTAAAGAGAAACAGGTGCAGTGCATGTTTGCTGAACGTTGCCATCACGTGATAACATTCAATTTGTAAACAAAGGTAACATGGTCTGTAATAAAGTGGTTTATATCTATAAAAAAAAATGATAATAATCGAATGAGATATGTTTGTATTATATAACGACTGACATGAACTTTCTTTGATGGCATATTATTTACAAAGACTTAATTTTTTTAATTTTAAAGTGAAATTACATTCTCATCGAATTTCCAAATTTAATACAAGTTGTAAATATTATAATTCATCAAAAGGAAAAACGATCAGTTGCTGTGATGATAGCAATAACAAATCTTCGACGGATAGTGTGCAAGTCCAAAATATTGATTAGAATCATCAAATTACAAAACTGTGTTTCACTAATCTGTGAGCCAAAGTTTGCTGAAATAAATTATTAGAATGACCAATGGTGGCCGTTACATACTAAGATTGCTATTAATATTATTATTTGTATTAGTTATTATTATGAAAACAAAAAACTAGGACCTTCGTGAGACACTTTAGCATTACAAGTTATACCTTTGGGAGACATGGAATTAGGGAGACATTTCAATGTCTCCCTTATGCTTCAGCCCCTATTTAGAGGCAAAAACTTTGTGTCTTAAATAGGCTAGATCGTGGTCCTATTCGTAGAAATACCAACATTCGTGGGGGTAGGGGTAATTAAAGTTAGAAGAAATAATAATAACCGGAAGAGTGATTAGGGAGACTTTCCCATAGATTTGTGCACATTTTTGTTTTCAACTTAAATGTGCCCTAATTTTCCCTTGTCCTTTTCCCACGAATGTCGATATTTTTTACTAATTAGACCACAAACAACAAATATAACCTAATTGCGACAATGAAATTTTGACCCAGTTATGTGTCTCCCTATTATCGAAAAAATACGATAACGTGTCACTCTAATGGTACATTTAGTAATATATTTATTATTATTATTAAGACAACATGAGTTTGCGGTAGCACCATGTGAATAAATCTCTTTTGTGAGTATGTGTGGTTCTTTTCAGAACCACACATACTCACAAAAGAGATTTATTCACATGGTGCTACCACAAACTTATATTGTCGTAGTATCTTTCCACCATGCAAACCTTCAAATCTCATATTATTATTATTAGAAGTAGTAGTAGTATTAATTTTCAAGGGGATGGATAAGACGTTGTTGGCAACGTATATGTACGAAAGAACACAGTACCAAAGGCCTGAAGAAATGCATCAAAATAGTCGATACTGAGTGATGACATTGTTTAGGAAACTCAAACAAAAGTGTGAAGTGTTTTTTCCATGATGAAAAACAAATGACATTAGTCAGTCGTGGGGGAGGGTAGCCAGGCAACCGATCCCTTGATCCGCCCACGAGATGAGCATGCGTTACTACATCCGACGGACGCAGTTCATACCACTAGATTGCGACCACGAGTCGGAGTTTCCACGATGCCGTGACTTGAGCCTTTCGCGCGGTTGAGTTGAAAACGAGGTCAGACTAGCAGGCCTCGTACACTTGAATAGGTTCGTATGTTAATAGCTCGGCAACATTCACGATATCAACATGACAAGTTCTCTTTTTGTGTATGTTATTGGTTTCCATCCCAGATAGATAAAGAATGAATATATAGTTACGGTGCGGTGAAGCGGCCGCTAGCATCAGCCTGCATGCAGGACAGATTGGCGGGAAACGCACGGGCAGGACGCTCACAGATCACAGAGTGATCCCAAGTACACCCCGTGTCATCCCAACTACCGTCCGCTGCATCCCACAGCTGCACGCAAAATGCATTAATACCAGTCGGTTCCCCCGGCGCCCACTTGGTGTATACACACTCCTTACCTCCATTGCCTGGCTGCACGTACCTGCCTTCCATCGAATCGTGCCTGCAACCGATCCAAAGACTTCCTTTGAGAGAGTTCTCCTTGAACATTTGCCAAATCAACTGATGCTCTTCATCGGAATCGGGTACGGCCATGCTGCCGCTCATACCAGAGCAAGTCGCTTGAGCTTCGTCCCACGTCATGGTGTCATCGACGAGGCAATAGTAAGACCCGCTTGCCCACTCCCACTGAGGACAGAGGCCCGCTACTCCACCCACAAGAACGATGAAATATAGTATACCTGTGTCCATTGTTTTGCGTCTGTACAAACCAAATAGCGTTTAAGCTGAAGAAATCATCCACAGATTACTCACATTAAATGTCGGAAGAAAGCTGCATGTGGGAAAAAACAACTTACTATTGCAGCACTTATTATACTGCTCTCCAGCTTTTGCATGAACTAACAAAAACTGACTTTGCAATAATGTTTATCGTATCCCTGGCCAAACCACTTCATTATAGAAGGCAGATGTTTGCTGCTGAGCTATATAGTGCGTCCCTTGGTATTATCATCTTTGTTTCTTCGGGCATAAAGGCAACTAGACTGGTCCCCCAGGCCTGTAATCAGCTCCCATGCGTAAGCTTCTGATTGGTCCTCGTTTTTGCTCGCAGAGTAAACGTTGTGCTATTGTTAGAGTTCTTTGCAATGACGTCATTTACGCACTGGTTACCTGTTTAGTGCTCTTAGGCCTAGAGTAGTGTGTTTCCATTGGGAAAAAAACATTACGAAACTCATTGGGAATAATTTTACAGATGGCCTGATACCAGAGTCCTGTCTTCACTTTCAGCAAGGTCGTCTAACAAATTGCCTTGAACGGTTACCAGGCAACTCAGGTATGCGGCAGAACGCGGCATGGACAATACATTTGCGGAGAAACTTGCATGTAATTCACAGGAGAACGTTGTGACAAATGATAACGTGGAAACTATAATTCACTCGTTCTATCGTCTGATCAGTACAGGTAATATTGATAGGCCCTGCACACTAAGAGAAAATAATAGTCATCAACGGTCAAACATTACAAGTAACTATATGAACAATCTTACAAAAAAAATGAAAAGGCCAGTTTAAGAGCTAATTGTGTTTTATGTTTGTTCGCAAGACCATTTGAATATTCTTTAATGTCTCGGTTTTAATTCAATATTCTTTGATAGTCAAAAGGAAAGAAGAGGTATTCTGTTATAATCGTTCAAAGTAGGATAAACTTAAATCATTTTTATGAGCAATACCAAAAAAAAAGGTCTTTGCATTCAGTGTATGGTACCATGTGGTGTGCTATGCATCCACCGAGTCTCGGTCATGGGGTTTTGATACGGTGGATATATTTTCTTTTTAAATGTCGAATATATTTCGTGTAGTTTAAACTCCCCGTAGGCGAACAATTCTCGTTGCATCATTCACTACTGCACTGGAGTTTAAGAGCAGTCTGCGATACGGGGAGCAGCATCTACTAGCACACCAGCTGCCACCGGCGTGATTGTACCCCCTCAGCGATGAGAAGTGGAAGCTAACTCAGCTTGTCGCATGTCTTAGACTTGTCTGTAGAGTCTTCAGTGATTACGTCTCTGTTCCTTAGTCAGTTCTCTGTCTCCCGCGACAGATTTGTTTCATCTAAACTATATCTTCAAGCTAACAGAGGAGGCAGTGTTTCAGTTAAAATTGGCTACAACGTCCATTTTTTTTATAGACATGACAATTCTTAAGCAAATGACAATGTTTGCATCTACTTCTCTACTAATACAATCAGCGAAGTAAAACACTGAAATTTATGATTCTTTCTTATATCAACACAGCTTAAATGATAATTTGCTTGAAGCGCCTCATTCGCGTAAGTCAAAGTGGTAGCAGTTTTCGTCATTGTCAACCACCATGCTGGCGTCGTGCGTTGTCTCGTACAACTGGCAGATCTTCTCTCCGTGGCTGACCTGTCGCAGATTGAAGGAGCGGCATCGAGGCTCATCCCGGCACGCCGAGCCGCACGCGATGACACCCTCAGTGGGGAACTCCTGGATGAATTGACCGGTCAGGCAAGGGGACGTCTTGAAGCGGCCGTCTGCATCAACTTGTAAGCAGAGGAGCTGTGACGAATCCCCCACCTGGGATGTTTCGCAGATGGCATGGAAGAGATGCTCGCACGGTTGGTCTGCCCACTCTCCGTTTGTCATCGTTATCCTTCCGCAGGATCCACTTGGGTAGTAACCTCCGTTGGGCTCGCCCGTCGCCCAGTTGATGTACCCACTAACCTTCCCATCATGCTCCACGCAGCTCCACTTCCCGTCTGCAGGCTCCGGCCTACTGCAACCGATCCAGAAGTCGGTAGGTGCATCGGATGTTGACAGTGCCTCCTCCACCATCCCCCAGATAGCATCTTGCTCAGCCTGCGTGCTGGACATCGCCAAGCCGCCTCCGAGATCTCTACACTTATCATCTACTGCCTCCCAGGACCGTGTCTCATCAACCAGCAGACGGTAACAGGACAGGCCGACTTTCTGCCAAGAGGACAGGCAGCGTCCCGTACGACCAAAAGAGATAGATACCAAAATGACGAGCAGCAGGAAAAATAATGCTTCCTTCCAGGCCATTTTGGTATGTAATGCTGCAATCCTTGTGATGCTGTACCTACACTGCAGCAACCGATACATATCGATGTAGGTAGGCTGGCATCAATCGATGCGCGTGGTAAGGTCTAAGACACACGTAACTATGGTGATTTAATTTCCATTTTTACACTTTAACTCTACTTTCATTAGAGAGATTGATGCCATTTAGACGAGGCGCCAGAAACATTTTCTCTAGGCCATCATGATAACAAATGCTACAAACCCTGGGGTGATATTCGTCTACAATAGCGTCTAGGTAGTTATTCTGGTACCGATCAATCCCTAGATAGAGGCCTAAGTCATTTGTTGCTATGGTAATTCATCGACCTTTTCACACGATAACCCTGACGTTAATACGAGCATCATGACTAAATACCACTTGTGCCTTCCGTAGCCGCCGTACTATTAATGAAATTGACTGACGAGATGGAAGCTAAGACCACGTGGAATTAAACATCGAGAAATTCAACAATATTGGCTTTCATTTTTATTCCTCTTCAGGCTGACTCTAGCCTCGGTTCATATTGAAATTGATTGTGACGATATGAAAAAATTGAGTATCTATGCTGGATAAAATATCGAATATTTTTGGCCGACTTGATATTGATTATTGTTAGCCTACTCTTTTGGCTTTCTAATGGTTTCAGTTCGTGCATGCAAGGTTACTGGTATCACATCATTCATCTACGTCACTGACGACTTCCAACGGATTTTTTTGAGTGCTCAAAATCTTAAATAGGGTGCATAACAACGTTGAGGCTTAAGCTCAGTGGCAACTGTACACTTTGAAGAAAAAAAACAGACAAACATATGAACAATTTTAGGGTCTCGTAAAGGATTCCATTGCTAATACACGTACAAATGGGTATCCCACAGCAACAGCAATGTTCAGTTCTCAATATTCACAACACATTTTGTACATCAAATGAAAATGTTCGCTTCTACTTTTGCAAAGTTACTCGGTTGAGAAAAACATTGAAATAAAATGCATTCCTTCTGACATTTTATGCAGTAACTGTTTTGCAGGTTTCTTATTCGCGCAGGTCAAAGTGACACCAGTTTTCGTCTCCATCATCAACCGCCATGCCTCCGTCGTGCGTTGCCTCGTACAGCTGGCAGATCTTCTTTCCGCGGCTGACCTGTCGCAGTTTGCAGGAGCAGCATTGAGGTTCATTCCGGCACGCCGAACCACACGCGATGACACCCTCAGTGGGGAACTCCTGGATGAATTGACCGGTCAGGCAAGGGACGTCTTGCAGTGGCCGTCAGCATCAGCTTGCAAGCAGAGGAGCTGTAAGGAATCACCCACGTGGGATGTTTCGCAGATGGCATGGAATAGATGCTAGCACGGTTGGTCTGCCCAGTCACCACTTGAGGCATTTATCCTTGCACAATACTCAATCAGGTCTTTGTCTCCGTTTGGCTGGCCCCTCACCCAGCTGGTGTACCCACTCACCTTCCCATCATGCTCCACGCAGTTCACTTCCCCTTCTGGTGCCTCCTTTTTCTGACAACCGATCCAGAGGTCAGACACTGAGGTAAATGATGCGATCGCTTCCTCGACCATCCCCCATGCCATCCTGCTCAGCCTGCGTGCTGGGGACTGCCAAGCCACCTCCGAGATCTCTGCACTTGTCAACTGCCTGACCGTAAGTCTGGAAGAAATCGTTCGAAAACTTCCCCAAATCTATGTATTTATATTAATTTCTAGGAATTTCTTCAAGTTATTTTTTCACGAGTTGTTGAACATATCGTCTAAATATATTCCGAATTTCAGCTTAATCTGTTGTTGCAAACGCTTGTGTTACACCTTACACCAAGGAAAATTTCGACAAGGATTTTTTTCCGACCCAACACACATGCAATGTTCAGCAAAGCGCCGTAGGCGCCATGGTTGACCGATTTCGGCCCGGCAACACAATGACGACGGGCATATTAGCATATTCATTAGCATCACTCGGCGTGACTTGGCGTGGGTCTCGGTATCGACCAATGGAAGCCGGCAAAGAGGTTGATATTTATCAGTTAATAACTCGTGAAGGAGGCTTTATAGCAAATTTTTACTGCACACCGTAATGAATAGGAACCTTATTAATATTCGTGAGTCTTGACGCCAGTGATACAACTTTCAAAAATGCACGTGGCCAGGCCTACTTTTCCAATTTCAACGAAAAGTATCACAACGATTATTAGCACATACTTGGATCATTATAAGGGAAATAAACCCTGAAAGTTGCATGAAGATATACGGTCTTCCAAACGGGAAAAATTAATTTTCAAAGATTTCGCCCGCCAACGTGAACATGTCTGTGTGCATGTAGTTTCATTCAAAATAAAGTGTTACGTAACCTTCAGAAATCGCCCTTCGCAACGAAGTCAAACGCAGTCATGCAATCTGTGACCGTTCTCACAGACCATATAAATAGCAGACTCCTCAACCAATAGCTTTGCAATTCTTGCTCAGTTAGTTGTATTATTGTATTGTATCCTGTGGTACGTGGACATCAAGGCAGCCTTCGACTTTGTAGACCGTGAAGCCAGC